CATGTGCGCCTCCAGGAACTCAAGCCTGAGTGTACTCCTTTATCTATTCTAAAGGGCTATGTTCTGGTCTTCTCAGGGCTTCCTACAATGGTTTAGCAATGAGCCCAACCTTGGAATCCAAATATGGCAGTAGCCCGCCATTCCCAGGAAGCTTCTTAGCTGTTTTCTGGTACTGAGAACTTCCATTTGAATTATGGTTTCTTTTCTGTCCCTCATAAGACTCCTTTTGCCAGGTTCAAGCAGGAATCCAAGAAACCATACTGCTCATTGGCAAATCTGGGCCTTCTGTGCAGATGCTTTATAGCTACAAGATGCCAGACGGTTCAAGCAAGGTGGCTACAGTATTGGTTAGACATTGCTGCAATGATGTCCCAATAATTAGAGGTCATCTACATATAGTAACAGAATTCTTCCTTCTACTTTTAGGTCCTTTAAGCCAGGGCTCATGGTCTCCCCCAAAATCGTGGAAGGTTCCTGCCTCTGTGGGGTGACTAATAGGTTGTAATCATTGCACCTCTGGGCCCTGTCACTCATCGTCAGAGCTATTTCCTTTTCCCAGCATAACTCTGAGTTCTCAGACTCAAACCCTTTTCCCTCCCTTGGGGCACTGATTTTTCCTGTGCTCCTTTCCTTTGCAATACACGCATTGATCACTGGCAAGTGGGGGTCGGGCACCTCTTGCCTGCCTGATGGAATTGCCCTGAGTCCTGTTCCAAGAAAATGGTGGCTGCGTGGGCCCTTTTCTGTTCTGTGTTATAAACTTTGAAGGCAATGTCTGCTAATTGGGAAGGATCCATGCCTATTCCCCCTCTAATTTCTGAAGTTTCTTTCTGATATCAGGTGCACTTTGAGAGATAAAGGTTATATGCACCATTCTAATATTTTCAGGGGCTTGTGGATCCAGATCAGTATATTTTCTATAGGCCTGGCAGATTCTTTCAAGGAACTCAGAGGGGCCCTCTGTGGGCTTTGGTTGGACTGTCTATACCATACTGAGGCTTCTGCTTAGGGGCCCCTTTCTACAGTCCCTCAAGGATGCAGCTCTTATGAAGCTATAAGAGAGGAAGGCCATTCTCATTAGGGTCCCAGGTGGGCTGGGTTAAAGGTATTGCCTTAGTAGGGTTGGGAGTCCCATCTGGATTTCCTTGGTGCAGTCTCCGAGCCTCTGCATTTGCCTTATCCAATACCAACCTCCGCTCATCCCCCGTAAGCAAAATATTCAGTAAGGCTTGTATGTCTGCCCAGTTGGGACGGTGGGTGGCAAACATTGAAGTAACTAAGTCATTTCAGAAGGATCATCCCTATAAGAAGGACTAGAGTTTTTCAGGTTTAACACATCTGATGTGAAAAATCGAGCATGTGCCCAATAATACCCAGTGAGCTGGCCCTCTGGCCCTACTCCCACTGGAAGTCTTCACAGAGGGTATGGCCCTGCCTCAGTAGGGGCTTGTCCTCCACTGCATTTGGTTCCCTGGAGGGTTCTGGATGGAGAGACCAGTTCAGGCTCACCTCCTCCCGCTCCCTCAGCCCAGTAAGGAGGAAGACCTCCCAGGGCTGGAGGGGCTGTGGGAACCCTGACCATGCTCACAGTAGCCATAACCTCCAGATCTTCCTGGTTCCTCTTTTCTGAGCTTCTGCTATCAACCACAGGCAAACTCCCTTTTCTCTGGACCATTAATCCATTTCTTTTCAATCCTGCACCGTCACTATGTAAGGCCATAGAAGCTTGTACATAAGGTATTTTGTCGCATTTCCCTGATCTTTGACAAAACAACTTTAATTGAGTATAGTATAGTAATTTAAAGACCCGTTCGGTGGCCAGCGCTCTCCTGAGTCTGGATTATACATAAGCCAAGCAGAGTTACAATAAAAAATCACCCTCTTTTTAGTCATAGGTTTGTAAGCATAGGTCAACCAATCAGCCAAAACTCGCCCCAAAGGGCTGTTTCCCAGAACTGAGGCTCCTCTCTGCCATTCTACCAGACAGAGCTCTGAAATATCACACAAACTGAACCAGAAGGCATCTTAATTCCTGACTACCAATCTAAGTTGTAACCCTGGGCTGTAATTCTGCACCAAAAAGCGCAGTGATTCAATGAAAGTGAAGGCAATGGGGAGTGCCTAGAGTCTGAGGAGACTCTCCAAGTGGAATTACTTGGCAGCTACTAGGGAGTCTCCAAATCCACACCCAGGGCCCCCAAGTCCAGGCAGCCAAAGGGACTCCCCACCAAATACCCAGACTTACCGGAGTGTCCTGAAACTATCCCACCACAGTCGCCAGAATATGAAACTGGAAAAGTCAGCTTTCGTGCTACCAGAACCCAAAAGTAGAGACAAGGATTGGATCTTTATGGGCACTTTATTCAGATGGCCGGTGATCTGAAAAGACGGCAGGTTATGTACCCTAAAGACTGTCTTACATCTCATCTCAAGCAGACCTTTCTTATAAGGAGAAGAGAAACATAGGTAAGGGGTTTGGAATTCAGGGGAAATTGTTAATCAGATAAAGGCTGCAGCCCTGTGATTTTCCGAGCATCTCTTCATCTGCTGACCGATGACTGGGCAGTGGACAGAAGTCTCTCCCTGGAGCACAGTGGCTCAGATACCATCTTGGTCGCTTACAGTCATCCTGGGGCTCAAAGGTTCCTGGAACGGTAGCTTTCTAAGTGCTTTCATTACCAAGCCTATTCACTAGATAACCAAAGATGAAAATTTTTAACTCCTTGAGCTCCCGTCAAAGATACTGTGAATTTTTTTCTTTACAAATTTCGATGTCTCTCATTATGTTCCTTTACAATCCAGGCAACTAATTCCTTGCTTTCTTCTGATCACCTATGGCCTTTACTGCAGCCTGAGGGTTATGGATGGGAAGCCTTGTGGGGCGGATGCTATAATCTATACCAGCATTCTAATGTAGGGAATTTTTTTAAGGTGCAAATTCCTGGGTGCCTCTGAGGTATATCCCATACGTGGTTGTTTGGTTTTTTTAAATGTATTTTTATTGCTTTCAGAGAGAGGAAGGAAGAGGGAGAGAGATAGAAACATCAATGATGAGAGAGATCTGCTTCTTGCACGCCCCCTCCGGGGGATCAAGCCCGTAGCCCAGGGCATGTGCCCTGACTGGGAATCGAACCTTGACCTCCTGATTCATATAGGTAGACACTCAACCACTGAGCCATGCCAGCTATTTTGTTTTGTTTTTAAATAAACATCCCAGAAAATTCTGACATGCAGCCAGACTGAGAATCCTCATTTTAGGGTGACAGCGCGCAGTAAGTGCCATGAGGCCAAGTACAACGGCTATTTGCTCCTTGGTGTATGTCCATCCTGTTTCTGGCACAGGGAGGGCACTCGATGCACATTTGTTTGTGAACTTATGCATAGGGACACACTTTGTAACTTTTCTTCATCTAAATCCCATCTGCTAGGAACTCTGCAAGTAGCTCTTAACTGGGGGCAGGGGCAGGGAGGCAGCAGAGCCTGCTTTGGGAAATCAAAGAAAGCCAATGAAAGCTGAAACACTCGAAATCTGGCCTACAGTTCTGGGGCATTCACAGTCGTCTTTGAAACTTGTTCATGGCTTCACTTTATTCGTTTTGTAACATCCTGTTGGGCACTGGCAGGGCGCTCAGAGCTAGAGAGAACCAGATTATGAACCAGGCTTAGGCAAGCTTTCCAGCTAGGGGATACTCACAGCTCTTCTTGTCCCCTTCTCAGATTTGTAGAAAAGAACTCCAAAATTTGGCCCACAGTAGAAGAAAAGGAATTTAAATGGGATTTGGAGCTCTTACTACTTTCTAGCTTTGTAACCTAGAAGTGTAATTATATGTTTTATCACTCTAACTAGATTTCTGGCTCCTGTAAGGCAGAGTCCACATCCCCTGTATGCTGAGCAAGGTACCTTAGATGTATTGACAATACAGTCACTGACGCATGCATTTGGGATGAGTAGTAAGACATGGTGGCTATTTAGGAAAGGGAGCTAACGGCAGCCTAAGATCCTGTTCAGAGTAAGGAAGTGGGCGGCGCCTGGTTTTGCTGACTAATCTAGGAGCCCGCATTCCTAGTTTGCAACCCAGCCTTCCTCAGATACATACAAACCGTAGGTAACGCACTAGGCAGGTTTTGGGGTTAGTTTGGTTTGTTTGTTTGGTTAGTTTTTTACCTTTGAAACCTGAAATGAGAATCTAGGACTCCAGGACCGATTTCTAGCAGTGCTATTTCAAGCCAGTCCCGTTGACCTCTGTGAGCTTTGTTTGATTTTCTTCCAGTGAAAAATGACAGAGGGCAGGGTGGGAGAAAGCAAGTTCGTCCCTAAGGTCCACTTGAGACCCATATTATTCTACGGAATGAAAGGCAAGCATTAAAAGGCCAGAGTTGCCGTTCCCATACTCATATTCATCAGCTTCCCTCGTTGTATCATGTTGGGCAGGTTTAGGGATATGATGATGATTTATTCTCACAGTTATTATTTCTTTGGTCTAATGTTTAATATTTATTGTTGGGTTTCACATGCAAGAGAGTTAACTCAAGATTATCTTCTAGCACATTTCTATAATTATTTGTCACCCTCCAGCACCTCCTCTTCTACCAACTGGTCAAGTTCCTGACCATCAACAGCAGAAGACCTTGGGCAAAGCAAAGGGTCTTTGAGAGCCTGAAGCTTAGCAGGCTTAAGGGTTGAGCTTAGAGACGGAGTGTACTTGACTTTGTTCTAAGGCCTTTACCTTGGCCTACTGGCATGTGCAGTGCTCTCTGTTTGGTATTAACGATACCACCTTCTCTACCCCATTATTTAGAATAACTTAGGGACTGGTTCTGTAATAATTGTATTTCTTTTCTTTAAAATGCACAATATATATTTATACTAATGTCTCATATCTCCTTTAAGGTCCTAACTAGAATAATACGTGAAGAAAAAATAATATTTTATAATGTATAGTCTACATTACCAAAAATTCATCCCCTTTAATTATGTTTCCATTTTCCCTTTATATCAGGTGTCATTAAAACATTCCGAGATCATCCAATCAAATTCCACAGGGATTGGTGATCAACAAGAAGGCTCAGGTGTGGATATCTGATTGCTTATCTGTGAGTAGAGTTCATGTGACTTGGGGGGGGAGGGACTCTGCTCTTAGCAATTATATAGCTTCTCTGCCTGATTTTCTAAATTCTTGCACCTAAAGATGCATGTAAGAAGCTAAGCTTTCTGCCGTGCCCCTTGTTGTTTACTTACCAGGCAATGTCTCAAGTTCGGAAGGAATTGTTTTGTAATATGATTTTTTGCTTTATTTTTCCTGCATACATAATATCTTAAGCAAAACAGTCCCCTTTCAATAACGAAGTCCTCACTTCCTGCAAAGAATGCTGACAGCTTGAGGGAATGAAAAAAAGAGGAGTGAGTCAGTCTTCCAAGGGGAATACCTCCCTTTGCACAAACACTGGTGATGTCAGGAGCGTTAAGTACCCCTCACTTTCGACAAATTCTCTTCTGCTTGGGATGACCTTCTGCAGCAGCAGGTCTACCTGGGGAGCAGAAAGAGGGGGTTTTTAAAGGTATGGCGTGGAGAAACTAAAGGAAACTTCACTTGTTCACAATTTTACCGAAGTTGGCATCAGCAGGAAGAAAAGTTCTCAAGGAATTTAGCGTGGTTCTCAGCAATTATTGTTTCAGGGTTGTATCAGTTACACCCTGTATTAGTTTGCTATGGCTACCATAACAAAATACCACAGACTGGGTGGCTGAAACAACAAAGATTTATTTTCTCAGAGTTCTGGAGGCTAGAAGTCCAAGATCAAGATGTGGGCAGCCTGGCCAGGTGGCTCAGTCGGTCGGAGCATCGTCCTGTGCACCAAAATGTTGTGGGTTCGATTTCCAGCCAGGACACATACCTAGGTTGTGGGTTCGATCCTTGGGGATTGAGACTTCAACATGTGGATCTGGGGGGACACAGTTCAGTCCATAATTCTCCATCAGCATTTTTTCTCTAATATGCTGATGTTTAGCTTATTGCACGTGGACCTCTCTCTGATTCTTCTCTTCTGAACTAAGCCCTTAGCATCGGAGTCACTCTCAGAGCCCTTGTCTCTTTTGCCGTCTGTTATAGTCCTTTGTATGTATATCTCTCATTTCCTTATAGCATTTCATAATTTTTGAAATTGAGGAGTGTTCCTTTACAATCCAGGCAACTAATTCCTTGCTTTTTTTCTGATCACCTGTGGCCTTTACTGTAGTGTGAGGGTTATGGATTGGAAACCTTGTGGGGTGGATGCTATAATCTGTACCAGCATTCCAATGTAGGGAATTTTTTTAAGGTGGGAATTCCTATACGTCATAACCTATACGTAGGAATTAAAACCATGACAGTGGGTGAGGCTACCCAGAGAGACTGTGTGGAGGGAGAGGAGCAGTGACTTAAAAATGCCACCAAAAATTGTATGCAGCAAGTTTCCCTGATAAATAACAGGAGAGGAACCCTCTCAAGGGAAAGAAATCTCCATGATACTTCTGATGAGGGTTTGTAAGGACATGTATATTAGCTAATGTATGTCTATTTATTTCTCTCTCCTTTTATTTCTTTGGTCCTTTTTTATGCCTTCTGCTTTCCTGTCTTTTGTAGGCTATGTCCCAAACCATTCCTGGGGGGCTTGCCCTACCCAACTTTGCTCCCCTCTAGCTAACTCCACTCATGAACATGTGTTTGACTCCCTAGCTGCCTGCCCAGGGGTCTCACACATCAATACCTTCCTTTGGGACCATTTCCTTCATCAGCCAATTAGGGCAGATCAGACTGGACAGCAGGAAAGGCCCAGGATTAGACCTTTAATGTCCAAAAAGACAGAAGACAGGACCTTTTCAGGGTCAGGTGCCATGGAATATTGTCTTGTCTAGACAGTAAAGAGACCAGTTGGGGGGAATGTGCCTCTTTTGTTCCTTGAACTCCCTTTTTAGTCCAGTGTTCCCTGCTGATCCCCCCACACCACCCATGCTTTAGAGGAAGCTTTGGAAACATTTTAGGGCTTCACAGCATGACCAGAGTAGGGGCTGGTGGAGTGTAGATGGGCCATGGGTCATTATAGCCATAACAAGCTTCTCGGCTTCGGGCTTCACCATCAAACGTCTTTTCTAATGGGGCCATGTTTCTTTACCCCAGCACTGAATTTCCCTAATTTTCCCCGCTTCCTGTAATGCAAGTAAAAGGGGAAAAGGTACTTGTTTCTCTTTTATTTTCTAAAGGGTTCTTTCTTTTCTTTTAAGTTCCTTCCTTGTTTTTTATCTTTTTATCTCTCCCTTAGCTCTCTTTCTTTAGCAGAAACCCTTGATCTTTCTTTGCATTGTCTGACTATCAGCAAAAGAGGCTATCAGAGGTCCAGAAGCTTCCTCCGCCTTCTCAGCAAAGCACCACCCATCTTTTAAAATCATGAACTTCAAGATACCAGCTTTCCTCAAGTACCTTCTTCCATACTTTCCTCTTGGTGTTCTTCACAGAGCCAGGAAAAAGATGCCAGTTTTCTCATAGCTACCCAAAGGGTCAGTGACACATGAGTCAGTGATTTTTATGCAAATTATTATTTATCTATATAGAGAAATTTTAAAGTCCAGAGAAAACAGTTCTGCAACCTATGAGTGGCCTAGGTGGGGTATTCCAGATGAATGGTGGCAGTGGCCAGCCTAGGTGCCTCCCGACTGTGTTTCATTAATTTCGGGCAGCTCAAGGACTTGGAGAGAACGATAATTTTCCTATGAACATGTGGAACAAGTGCTCTGCGTTGTGTGCAGGCTTTGCCCTTGTTTTAGAACAGCATAAATGGGAGGTTTTATAACCACTGTGGGCCAATATTTTTGGAGTCACTTGAAGCTCCAGATGGAGTGGAAAGAGAAGATTTTTCTTCCCTTTTTCCTTGAGTTTTGCTGAACAAGCCTCCCTGGACACCCTTGACAAAGTGTTGGGTCTTCTGTTTAGTTCATGTGCCCACGCTTGTTAGAGCATGACCTAGAGGGGACTTTCTTCCACTAAGAGTCTTTTCTGTATATTTCTGGTTGTGGTTGCAGAACGAGGTTCATATGTGAGAAAGTCTTGAATCCACTCCTTCCCTAAGCATCTTATCCCAAGAAGACTGCTTTCAGGTCCTTGTCATGGAGCAAAAGGGGGAAAACATACAATGAGCTCAAGCCTGGTTAGGGATTGAGAGGACATGAGGAACACGAATTCCCATGACTTCCTGACATTCTGGAAACCTTCAAATAAAGAGGGTAGGAGAACATTCCAGCATCACTATGGACAGGTTTTTAAGCTTTGGCCAAATGATGGCATTTTCCTGGCCAGATGATTACACCTGGCCTTAAGAGGCACCTCTGTGAAATCACACATCCCTGCCTAGCATGGCTATTGATGGAAAGAGGTTGTGCCAAGGTGGACACGCTGAGATAGGGGGCACAGATGGCAGGGAGAAAAGCAGACAATGGCGCCAGAAGTTCTTGTCTAGAACTTTCCAGCCTTTAGTTCCAATAAGCATGAGTGAGTGTGCAGTAAAGAGAAACAGAATGATGGTGCTATATAGCTTTTGACCAAAACTATCAAAAGTCTTATCTGAGGTTCCAACTGTGATAGAATTTGTACAGCTCAAGGACACAGACTCAACCGCTTCCAAACTCTGCTTTGATACATTCAACAAAACAAAGTGTGAACATCTTGCCCTGTTCCATGCAACGAGCCTCCAATGGGATTCAGCAGAACAAGCACCGAATCCAAGGAGGGGAAAAATCTGAGACATTTTCCTTCCCACCAGTCTCTGTTTTCCAGGTCCAACTTAATGTCAAATTAAATCTCGATTTTTTTAATTGACTTTACTAGAGGAGATGGCAGAGCTGCATTCCCCGAAATAGATATTTTAGGCCAAACTTATTACTTAGACTTTTTTTCTCTCCTCTTTTTTGCTAATTCAAAACAAAATGTCTATCATTCACTCTAACACCAGCCTTTAAGAGCTGGAGACAAATGGAGTCTGAATATTCACGCCCATGCGGTACAAATGAGCTGTGATTTCAGGATGCTGGCTGTTTCTCTGACAGGGGAAAAGAGCGGTTGACTAGTTTAATATTTTTGGCTGAAAACACTTTGTTCAAGAGGCATGGAAAAGGCCAACATTAATATTGAGTCCTGTTAGTTAATGACCCAAAATGATATACCGTGGAATGGAGCATCCTGAGTTTGGGAAAAAGCGTGTTGATCATATCCAGAGATGCAGAGGGGGAGTGAGTACAAATACAAATATACAGGGGACCAGAAGGAATGAGTGTTTCTAAAAGCGTTTTCTCCAAGTTCTTCAAAGAATCCCACCCATAAGCATACTATGCCCGTGATTGTGAATCGGATCCCAACCCAGGCTTCCAAACTTTATAAACATCAAGACATTTGTTACAATGAGAGACCCGGGGGACATATCTAACTGCCTCCCCCAGACTGCTTGCTAATGGTTTAGAAATAAAAGATACAATTGTAAGTTGGGGTTGTTGGGCTTGCAGCCACTATTAGCACCATCTGTCTTTCTTTTTGTTCTTCCAACATATATATTCAGTCACTCACTAATTTATTCATCCTACAGCTGTATATTGAATTGGACTCTCTCCACCCCAGGTGCTACATTAGGCCTGGGCTGCCTCCGCGATTCTAATGTTCCTCCACCCTCTCCTATAAAATGGGCTCTTGTTTCATTCAATGCAATGGAAAATTTGGTGAATCCAATAATGTGTTCATTGACGTAAAATGTGATTTCTGATACTTTTATTTGTTTTTCATTGGCTTCATCTTGGCAAAGAGTCATAATATTTTAAATTTCTCTGCCCCCTCACCCACCTATCATACTTAATTATGTGGTTTGTAGGCAAAACACTGCACTGCAGTGGCTATATCTGTAATTCTACTTTTCTGAAAATCGCTTTGAAGTAGGATGCATAATTGCCCCCGATGTTAAGTTTCCTAAATTCTGGTTTTCATGAAACATTTTTTAAAGGGGGGATATAGCTGTAGTTTTGAAGTAAAAAGTAAGGGTGCTGTGATAGTTTTATGGAATGCTCATAAGAATCAAAG